TAGAGCGGACTAGACTACGTTGAAAATTCCTGTATCATTTTGCAACTTTCGCAATAGCTAACGAGTTATTAATTATTAAAGTTCACTGTCTTAGCCCAGGCTTCTGCCCAAATCAAGCGCGCGACAAGTGCGGCCGTCCCGCGATCGGCGCGCAGAGAGTTGTTTATTATACGTAGCCGTTGCGCCGTGTGTCAACAACTTTTCGAACGCCTAGCAATGCCGATCGAATTGGACGGTAGGCCGGGCTAAGACAGCGATTTTTAATAATTAATAACTCGTTAACCATTGCGAAAGTTGCAAACTGGTACAGGACTTTTCAACTCATTGTCAGTCTATCTGTAAATAAGAAGTGAGGTGGGTATTACACAACACCCTGTATAATTTCTCATTTAACAAATAAATGTAATATAATAGATATCGTACATAACACTTATACTGTTGAGTAAGAATTTATAATACCGATGTTATGTAGCTGTTAGTGGGTATTTACTGACATCAATCAGGATTTGACACCGACTATTCATCGATGTAAAATTGACGTCAACTTGTTATTATTATTCTGTTAATGGCTCCTGGCTCCAGAGGGAGCCAACACGGTCACAACGTCAACTTGATTAATTATTTCCGACTGGAAAGCAGTATACAATCGAGACGTATGACGTAATTTAAAATAGAAGAAAACTTTCTACGTATAAGTATATTAAATTTTACTTTTATTAAGCGCGCGTGTTTCGGTTATATCATATAAAAACTGATGCGTTCAGCAATTTTTGGTCATATCTGTTCTCAATTAGAGCAAAACGTAACGAAAGATTCCACCATTTATAGACAAATAGCTAAAGTTCACCACGAACCGATTCCTACGACTGGTCTACAAATTTATGAATTGTAATGAAATGCTTGCTGAAGCTACCGCGTAACATGATATTCCCTCAACAAGCACCATAAATATTCATAAAGTGAAAATTGCAAGAGAGACCAAGACGAAACAATACCTTTTCCCGCTGCATTATATTCGTTTAAACAATGTAGAAAATCCTGGGGGATACGTGACACGATGAAACAAATTTGAATAGATTCGTAAACAGCCGCAAAGTACTTATCTCGCAATCGATAATCGGCAATGTCGATACAGGTGGAAACGACATTAGCCAGCTCCCTTCTTTCTCGCATGCGCGCTTTTCTTCTCTAATAAATTAGCGATGTGTTAAAAAAACAGATTTTTCTTACGTTATACGTAATAAATGATTTGTATCTTGTCGAAATGATACTTTTTTTAAATTACTGGCCTCGTCACAGCCATGTTGGAAATCGTAACGTCAGAAGCGAGAAATGACATGCTGAAAATTCTTGCGCTTCATAAATAAACAAGATATCTGGGGGAGATAAAAATAAAAACAGTCTTGGTTTCAGAATATCTTCAATATACTCCAGTATAACTAATCTTTTCTCTTGACAGCTGATAAACAGCCTTAAAATGTGAATGTAATACGATTCCTATGTAACAAGTACGTTTGCGCATGCACGATGTCATATGACTAGGAATCTTGTTACATACACAGGCTGTGTTCCGATATTCACTGCCAGTACTGCAAATCTATAGTTTACGTCACGTATACTATACATTTTCAGTACTGGCAGTGAATGTCGGAACACAACCACAATTTACGGCTGTTTATCAGCTGTTAAGGGACAAAATTAGTTACCGGATTATTTTGAAGGTGTGTTGAAACAATCTAGACGGTTTTCTATTTAGATAGCTTGTTATGTATTTATAAAGCGCAAGAATTCTCAGTAGGTATTTACCATAAAATTATATACCAGACTGCGTCATCCGTAGGAGGCGTCGATGGTAAGATATAGAAAGAGAGGAAGAGCTGAACTGAGTCAATGGGAGCGTCCCGTTTGGCCACGTTAATATTGACCACAGTCCCGATTGACCACGTTAATATCGACCACGTTGTGTATGACCACGTTGATATTGACCACGTTGCAATTGACCACGGTCCCGATTGACCACGGTCCCGATTGACCACGTTGCAATTGACCACGGTCCCAATTGACCACGTTGCAATTGACCACAGTCCCGATTGACCACGTTGCAATTGCCCACGGTCCCGGTTGACCACGTTGTAATTGACCACGGTCCCGATTGATCACGTTGCAATTGCCCACGGTCCC